TATCTTGAAACAAGCTTGCAGTCAAATGAATAAAATATATTTCAAATCAGTTGATCGTTTCTTTAAAATCACAGTAAAACTCAGGTACTGAAGTAGAATAATAATAATAATAATAATAATAATAATAATAACAATTGAGTTTTTGAGGGAGTTGTGGAGATTTGGAAATGTTTCAATTTGTTATTAATCTTAGACTGACATCAGTTGGAGGAAAAAAGGAAACATGGGAGCACTGGACAGCTGTTTCGTCCTAGTACGGGACTCCTCAGCAGTGCGCGCCCATGACTCCACAACTCCCTCAAAATTCAATTGAACTGGTGCTCATTATTGACTAGCTTCGAGAAGTATTCCCGAAGTTTCAGTGAGAAGTTGTGACTGGTGGAGTCAAAGCCTGAGGTCGTGAGGACAGTTACTCAACGATGACATTGGGTGGCGGTTGCGCTATATATCGTGAGCTAACAGAAGTTGGAAATATGGACCATTCGATTCTGACCCACTCGCTCAATGGTAACGTGGTGGCCACGGAACCTGAACGTCGGGGATTCGATCCCTGGTGGTGCGGGGTCGTGGGTGCGCACTTCTGAGGAGTCCCATACTAGGACGAAACAGCTGACCAGTGCTCCCAGGTTTCCTTTGTTCCTGTAACTGATGTCAGTCTACGATGAATAACAACTTGATGACCACTTTTCCAGTATCGGCTATCATTGGTCATAATCAGATCAGTGTTATCACACCACTCTCGATATCTGATTTTTATAGTTCTGTCACCTCTTGTTCTTTGTTTGTGCAAAGACCTAAACAAGGAAGTGAAACACACAAAGTCAGCATTAATAGTTAATAATTATCCTCCGTAGTTAGTTAACAAATTTTCACCAACATATAAGAAAGGAAAAGACAACATTAACAGAAGTATGACTGATAACGACAACACGAGTGGAAAGGAGTTCATAGTCTCTGTGGCGTTAATCTATAGGAAGGTACATCAGAAACTCTACGCAGGATCCTCAACGAAGCTGGAATTATTCTTATTATTATTTTTCCCTTGGGTTCCTAGTGGAACATGAACCTTCAGTAGCACGTCTCTATTTCACTGGCTTGTCTACAGTCTGAGCAACCTGGCTCCACGACTCCCCATAAGCTTTCATTTCTTCCTTACACCATTTCCTCCATGTCACCATCCCACGCCAAACGCGTCGTTTCCCCTTTGGATTCTACTCGATGACCTGGTCTGGAGTGTGATGTCCCCAAATAGTCTCCTCACTGTATGCCCAATCTAATCCATCTCCACTTTCTCCTGCATATTTGTTAGGCGACGGGTTCTTGGTTGGTGGAATTAGGGTGGGATGTAAGCCTACAAACTCACTGAGTCTTAAGAGTGCGATAGAACCAACTAAGCAAAATAATCTAATCTATCAAATTCCATGCAATGACTGCGAGTTAGGTCAAGTACATAGGTGAAACTAGCCGTTCGTTGTCCGTTAGAATTTTACTAAACATAGAATGACAGACTCTAATAAGATCAGTAATCTAGAAGGAAACTCGGTTATTGCCACTGCACACATTAGTACACAATCACACAATTGGATGGGTGGGATAAAACTGCTGTACTTAAGTCGTCTAATATAATTAAGTGTAAAGTAAGAGAGAGATTGATTACTGAATCTTTCTTCATCGAATCAACACCCAGTACATGTAATAGGAATGAGACAACATGTATACCAGTGATGTGGAAAATTTTACTACCAATCAAAGCAAAGAATCAGAGGTGACAGGACGGACTATGGAAATCAGATGTTGGCAGGTGTGTATGATAACAGTGAGATTGTTTATGAGCAATGACGATGTATGCTGGAAATGTCATCAAGTAAATAATACTGAATAACTATGTACCATAAATCAAATAGACAAATCTAAAATGGAACTGGAGTAGAAGGTATTTCATTTTAACTGTTTTACCATATTTGGCACACAAACATTTTTATTTACTTAACCATGCTACTGACACTGTGTATCTTCCGAAGCTTGATCCAGCAACTAATATTGTTTCTCTATGTGATACCTCTGATAAACCAGCTAAAATGGAATTGTCATTTGATTGCTTTATTCTTTTCCACTGAAAATCTTGCCGAAAATTTTTTTAGACTTTATTTGTAAGTACCTTTAGGAATTATCCTTACAAGTACTTGACGGTTGGAGGGGTCAATCACTATTTTTTCTGTTCATATATAATGCACACGAGCGTAAGACAAAGTATACAATGTCGTAGCCAGATAGAAAAATTATATTCCATAGGCCATGTCAGGTTTCAACTAACTGTTTAGAGGATCACGTACTAGGAATATCGTAAATGGCGTAAATGTTTGATCGTATGCCTTCAGATTAACCAGTTTGTTACAACTATAGAGATCAGCATCAATGTTGAATTCCATCGAACCGTAGGATATTGATTCTGGGAATTTATTCACCACTACGTGAAGAGTAGTCATTCTTCCAAAAACATATTTTATGTACATTAAACATATCAATCAGCAAAATTCAGTTGCAATTCACGCAGTGGACTGATTGGCACTTATCTCAAAAGATGGACATAGATAATAGCTGGTGGGAGACGACCTTCTTCATCTATAGCTAAACATATCATAGAAACAGATGACAAAGTTAATATTCAAACAGCCTTCAAAGTTTTATATAGAAACAGTCAGGGAATTATACTGAGATTTGCCGATGACATAGCCATACACAAATTTAAACCACCTTTATGTGTACAAAAATAGTTTGTTCTTACACTAAACCTACCTTGATTGGTAAAGTTTGTTTTCTTACCAAGATTAGGATCAACTAGGTCACTCTTCCTATTTGTTCTCATCTTTCTGAATTATAATCCCCAAATGTGTTATTTGTTGTATTTGTCCTCCCACTACTCAGTTTAATATATATTGATTGACTTGAAGAGTAAATGTGTGATCGGATTGTTCGAAATGTATTACACAAATATATCACATTGTTCAGATAAACTTCGTCTTCTAAGTAAACTATCGAAATTCATAATAGGGACTAACTGTCTCAAATATATATATATATATATATATATATGTACGGCTTGAGAAAAGTTCGTTGAAAAGAGTCTTCTTTGTTGAATACTGTCTGTGGACATTATCTTTGAGCTACCAAACGACTGAAAAGCTGTAATTATATCTATGTTATAAGCGAAATCATACTGTTAGTGCCATTACTGACCAAAGTCTATCGAGAGAGATAATTGGTGGAAATGTGAAACAAAGTTAACTAAACACTTAAATATTTCAACAAATGTTCTTCAACATCACAAATAATCTGTCACTTGCATTGTGTGTTGTAAATGACTTGACATGTGAATTGTATTCACTCATCATAATGCGATAATACCAGTGAATTTGATGGCGGATGGATACAATTTAAAAAACTATGACGTCGTTGTTGTGATTTTAAACTAGGGATCAATTTCAACCCTTGATACACGTTAACAAATATTTTCTCCACATATCGCTGTTCCTCTAAACTCAACTCATTGTTATCAGACTCCGCATAAATTGTGTCATCCTAGAAAAACGAAATTCAACTTGAACAGCTGATATGTTCAAGTTTGATCAATCAGTGATATAACTAATCAGTGAGTACCACATAAAATTGCACAATTGTTATGCTACCTGCCTGTGATTAGAATCTTATACAAACTGTTACTTAACTGAGGTGTTCCATAATGTTGGTGGTTAAAATTGCTAAAACTAAATCTTGAGAAGTGATTGTTTCTCAAATAAACAACACTTAAACTGTTGTTGTGATGCCCAAGTCTTGTATAAAACATTGTTATTGATCTGAACATTTTAACGTGTCATTCCCACATCGTTTTTGCGGTACGACTAATAATCTATTTTCTGCTACTATTGTAATGTAATTCGCTGATTGGTTAACTTTTACTCTTATCATGCGGATTTCTCCAATCGCGGACGAGGTCATTTTTTGTGTGTATACTTATTCACGTGTTTTGGATTGACTCATTGTTATTATTATTATATTCTCGGAGTAATACACTCTCCCATCTGCCAGCTTCGGTCTTCTCTCTATTCTTCCCGAGGTTGCAGCCAGTGTCTCTTGCGTACCAGGAGCGGGTGAACCCGTAGATACACATATATATATGGCCTGTTGAGAGATATTGTCTTTTATACAAACGACTGGTTAAAGATCAAATGAAGAATGACTGGGTAAAAAGTCCTACTAATTGATCTAGAAAGAAGATTTTTCAAGACATCTGATGCTTCATCACCTTCAAATTTCGGTTGTCTTCCTCAAGGATTACAGTCTTTAATTTCATATATATATATAACCAAAGGAGTGGGAAACAGTGATAAACGCTGCTGGGAGACGACCCTCTTCATCTGTGGCTAAACATACCATAGAAACAGGTGACAAAGTTAATATTCAAACAGCCTTCAAAGTTTTATATAGAAACAGTCAGGGAATTATACTGAGATTTGCCGATGACATAGCCATACACAAATTTAAACCACCTTTATGTGTACAAAAACAGTTTGTTCTTACACTAAACCTACCTTGATTGGTAAAGTTTGCTTTCTTACCAAGATTAGGATCAACTAGGTCACTCTTCCTATTTGTTCTCATCTTTCTGAATTATAATCCCCAATTGTGTTATTTGTTGTATTTGTCCTCCCACTACTCAGTTTAATATATATTGATTGACTTGAAGAGTAAATGTGTGATCAGATTGTTCAAAATGTATTACACAAATATATCACATTGTTCAGATAAACTTTGTCGTCTAATTACGCTATCGAAATAGATAATAGCTCTGAAATGTAACCAGTAGCTGACTCAGAAGATCTGAAATGCGGAATGAATATTTTCAAGGTATTACTATTTTTATCAGTATGGAAGCTTGAAGCTGACAGTTCAGTCTATCGAAGTATTCAATATATTACTCATATGTATCACTTATTTTTTAGATGAGAATAGATCATTCTGTAAAAGAGAAGAATTACTCCATGAACTGAAACTGAATGTCAAAACGCTTATGGAACATGCTGCAATATGTCATTCAGTTCCTGAGGATAGTACACTTGTACTTAATTTTTGTGGTAAATGATATTTCATTCATTTCATAAAGTAACTAATACTACTACCTATTATCATTGATATAGAATAGTTAGTTACATGTTGTTGAGATTTTAAGGGATCTTCAGTGTATATAAGATTATTTTATTAGTTTGTTTAAGGTTTTGTTGTGATACTATTCATAACCATTGACATGAATTCGTCTCCTGAAATCTATCAGTCTTAGATTCGTATATCAAAGTGGATGAAAATTGAAATAAGATTTTTTTCACAACTTGAATACATTTTTATCGTATTGCTCAAGATATATTAACAATAGGCAATAAAACATTAGTAGAAAAAATCCTGCCCCGGGGTTTTAATAACTTGATATACAAACTTCAGTGTAAAGAATATCATTCAGACGATTCAAAGACCCTTTGTAAATCACAAGTGTTTCAGCTACGGACAAATGCTTTGATCTTACTCCACTCGAGTGGTTTGGTCGAACCCTGTAGAGAATTTTGAATGAGCTCTGAAAAGAAGTTAAGTGGTCTGAGTTGGCGAGATGTTCTGTTATTGAAGTGAAGATATATCTGCCTTCTCACTTTACCAGCCATGCTGGATAGTGTTCGATGGCACATTTTACAAGCGGATGCATGGTAACGCTGATATACTCAGCTCCAAAACAGCAAGTAAACTAATATATACAACATTGATGTGACCCAATGTGTTGGCTTGTCTTTCACACAATAACCAAAACTTTTCTCGCAGGGGATAATAATTCGAAGGTTCTCAGAGAAGTATATTCTGTTTTAAGGATTTTAACAGTTGTTTCCTGAAGATGTCTGCAGAAATATTATTTTTGAATTGAAGATTAAACAAAAGAATCTTTTTCGGCCCCAAATGTGTTCGTCCATTTGAGTTCTTTGGCTTTATGTTCACATTTACGAATCTGAGCGGAAAGCCATTTCGTGCTAGAGTTCGTCGAAGTATTTGCAGTTCTCTGTCAACCGTGTCCGCGTGTAAAATGTACCCGCGAACACTACCTAGCATGGCTGGTAAAGAGAGAATGCAAATGTGTCTTCATTTCAATAACAGAACATCTCGTGAACTCAGGCCACTCATTCAAAATTTCCTACAGGATTCGATCAAACCACTCAAATGGAGTAAGATCAAGACATTTTTTTATAGCTGAAACGCTAGCGATTTAGGAGTTCACATATTCTAAACTTGGAAGTCATCTGCTTATAGTTGTGTTCAGTAAGAGCAATATACTTACTGAAAGTTTTCTGACAGAGATTGTAATGACGCTCTAACTACAATCCTTAGTTTGACTTGGTGACCTGATTGGAAATGAGCATAAACCTAGCCGTTTTATTATGCACACGACCTAATAAACAGCGAGTTCATTTTATTGTCTGTAATGTTTATTTTCAACCTCGCCTGGTTAACTAGTTCACTAGTTACTACCCGGTCCTAAGTTCGTATAAAGAGGGAAGGTTGGGCATAGGGCTAGCAACCCTACCCCGTAAAACAGGTCCAACCGGTAAAGAAACTTCAAAGTACAAACAAAATATAAAACATAAAAACAAAATTATTCCTCGCTGGAATCGGAGAGGCGAAATGACACGAATTGGTGAAAGCCTTCGGGAAGCCAGTTGGCCGATGTGTCCTCTCTCCTCTCGATGAGAGCGAAAGTAAACGTCTGGACATGGAATGTCCGTACGATGTTTGAACCCAGCAAGGCAGCCCAGATTGCAAAAGAAATGAGAAGGTATCACATTAAAGTGCTAGGAATCCGAGAAAGCGGATTGAATGGGAGTGGACTCTCCAAACTATCAACTGGAGAATCAATAATCTACTCCAATATTGTCACTCTGACGACAACCACGAGCACACTGAGTTCTGGAGTGGCTATCATGATGTCTCCAAGAGCATCGAAGGCTCTCATGCAGTGGGAACCAATCTCCTCCAGCATCAATCAATCAATCAATCTCCTCATGCAGGATCACGGCAGCAGGATTCAACTCAAAAGGAAGGAAGGTCACAATCATACAATGCTACGCTACGCACCTACGAATAATGCAAAACAAGAAAGAAGAAGGAGGAATTCTACAGACAACTTCAATCAACACTGGACAAGACGTCAGTTGGCGATATCAAAATTCTAATGTGTGGGGTGGCATGAATGCCAAACTGGGAGCGGACAATACATGAAGAGAACTAACAATGGGTCGAGAAGTGCTAGATGAAATGAAGGAGAATAGAAAATTGTTTGCAGAATTCTGTGCATTCGACGATTTGGTGATTGTAAGTACTATGTACAAACACAAAGATATTCACAAAGCCACATGCATTTCACTAAATGGACACACTACACTAAAAATTAGATCGACTTTATCTCAATCTCAAGAAAATGGAGACGCAGCCTACTTGATACAAGGTCAAGAAGAGGAGCAGATGTAGGCTCAGAACACTATCTAGTGCAGGGAACCTTCCAAATCAAGTTAAAAGCCTTCAAGAAAGTTGGTAATAGACCACAGTTCAAGTTCAACAACCAGAACAGAAGCTGAAGGACGAAATTACAAAGCAAATCTTCACGTCAGTCATCAAGAAAAAATGGGAGATATCGAGGGACATCACTGAAGAAACCTGTGTGGAAGAACACTGGAACTCTTTGAAAGAGATGTAGAAAGAAACTTGCATAACTGTATTAGGAAGGAAGAAGAAAGAATATAAGGAATGGATCTCGATGGACATATGGAGGCTGATAGAGGAGAGGAGGATGGTGAAGCAGAAGATGAACCAATGCAAGGATGAACAACGTATAGAGTAACTGAACACAACCTATAAAACGCTGGACAAAGAAGTGAAGAAGAGTACACGCAAAGACAAAATACACTTCTACGAAACACTGGCAAGTCAAGCAGAACAGGCTGCAGGTAGGAGAGACAGAGACCTGACGACATTGTATCAAATAACCAGGTTGCTATCTGGGAGGGGAGAGATCAACACAGATGAAACCAATAAAAGATGATGAAGGAAATTTAATTAGGAAAGAAGAGAAACAAAGGAAACGATGGGCTGACCACTTCAAAAAGCTCTTCAATCGACCATCGCCACCACCTGCAGCTCAGCCACAGAACTACCAGTGAACACAAACCCCCCAACAAAAGTGGAAGTCCTGAAGCCCATAAGGCTACTGAAATGTGGGAAAACAGCAGGACCAGATGGAATCCCGCCACAACCATTGAGCACAGACGCAGGGACAACAGCGGAAATGCTCACACCACTATTGCAGAAGGTGTGGGAGGAAGTAAAGGTACCTGGCTGGTGATTGGAAGAAGGGCTACCATGTCAAACTCCCGAAGATGGGGGGTGACCTCAGTGTTTGCAAGAACTGGTGAGGAATCATGCTCCTGTCCACCCAGAGCAAGCAAAATATTAAGCTTCATCATTGTGGGGAGACTAAAAGATGCGTTGGATTCAAAACTGAGACCGGGACATGTTGGCTGGTTGGATTCAGGAAGTACAAATGATGTGGAGACCGAATTGCAACGCCACACTTCGCATGATCATAGAAGAGAGTATAGAATGGCAGTCAACTGGATCTCTACCTCAACTTCATCAACTTTGAGAAGGCCTTTGACATCGTCGACCGAGAAGTAATTTTCAACTGCTCCAACACAAGCCTTTATCAACCTCATTCAACAACAATATGAAGATGCCACATGCCAAGTAATTCACAATGGGAAGCTCAGTGATGTTTTTGCAGTGAAGTGAAGACAGGAGTGAAACAAGGCTGTCTACTATCATCCATGATCTTCCTGATTGTGGTCGACTGGATCATGCAACAAACAGTGAGGAGGAAGATGAAGGGGATGCGCTGGACCACGGAAAGGATCCTAGAAGATTTGGATTTCGCCAGTGATGACTTGTGTCTAATGTCATGTCACACAAACTTGAAGATCTACAGTCAAAAACTAACGAGTTGACAGAAGAGGCAGGGCAACGAATACGGGACTTCAAGTAAACTTAGAGAAGACAGAGGTGATGAAGATACCCAACCAACAACAACAACAACAACAAGCTGCAATCACCATCAAAAGGAGAAACTTGAAGGAAGTATCCTCCTTCACCTATCTAGGCAACACTGTTTCAACTACAGGCGGGACGGACGAGGACGTCAAAGTCAGACAGGCTTTTATTAACCTGAAACCAGTGTGGAGATCTTCTGCACTCAGCATGTGGAACAAGATCCCGATTGTCAACACCAACCCAGTCAAGTCAGTGCTTCTATGTGATGGTTCAGAGACTTGACGCGTTACGAAAGGGATTTCCAACAAACTGCAGACATCCATCAACAACTACCTACGCTGGCTCGATACTGAATCTCAGATGGCCAGAATGATAAGAATAAGCAACAAGGAACTCTATCTGGCTGGCAACGAACCAAACAAGAACCTATCACTCAAGAAATATGGAGAAGTAAGTGGAGATGGATTGGGCATGCACTGAGAAGGCCGATTGGGGACATCACACACCAGGTCAGTTGCTTGAGTGGAACCGTGATAGGAAGTGACGAGTTGGGCGAGGGTGTTTGAGTGCGACATGGAAGAGATCGTGCGAGGAGAGAATGAGAGCTTGTGGGCAGTCGTGGAGCCAGGTTCAAAAGATTTAGGAGAACACAGTGCACTGGAGACGTGCTACTGAAGCCCTATGTTCCATTAGGAACCCGAAGGACAAATAATAATAATAATGTTTATTTTCAACAGAGATTAGTCTTTATTTTCCACAAGAGTTGCTTGAATCAAAATATTTAAGTCATATGTGGTTATCTATATGCTAGACTACATGATCAAACTGATATTTTGCTTACAACTTCAATCATACTGAATTACTGTGATCCAGTCGAATAAATACAAAAAGGTGAAACTTATGATTGACTTTCGGTGTGTGTATATTCAATAATATTCCAAATTTTTGGATAAAATGAACAATGAATCACAATCAACGAAGGTGAGACTCAGATAAAAACTGT